TTTTCATTTCCCCTGAGGCTTACGTGTGTCTGGTCTTGAGCGCTTGTCGTGAGTAAATTCTGATTACTTTTTTAAAACAAAATAGTATAGAATTAACGTGTGGACCATTCTTTGCCTGCCGCTTTCCCCCTGGAATCATCCCCCAATCACCACAGCTCTTCTAGATGGGAGAATAAGGGGAGAATTAGCAGACAGGAAAAAGTTTACAGCCAATCTTGCCCTGATGGAAGTCCCCAATATGCAGACAGGTGCCTTGTAAATTTACAAAGATTCAGTATTTGAAGTTCACTGTTCAAAGATGGATGGATGGGTTGATTTTTGCTAAACTTTGACTTCCAATTAATAATGCTCAAGAAGGATGTAGCTTCCTCTTAAGGTCTGTACAAATCCTAATTGTGGGATTAATTTGGGCCATTGGGTCAGGGTTTTAAAAATCTGGTGGGTTATTAGGTGTCGATAGCAATCGGGACTTTCCTGTATTGCTTTACTGCTTTCTGAGGTTGTCCGGGTTTTTGTTAGGAAACCCAGGCTGATGCTCCAGTTGTGTTCTGAAAGTGTCCTTCACAGTAACTTGTTCTGTCCAAATCGGTATGACCTTCCTGGAAGATGGCAATCTTGGATAATTTTCCTCTCATCTCTGAATAAGCAGAGATGAGAGTGGACCGGTGGACCCAAACTGTTATTTGTTGCAATAGGTAAAGGGGCAACAAAGAAGGTTTTTTCTGGAGTTCTAGGCTAAGGTATGAGGAAATCCCTCCTTTCGGTAGGTGGGGGAGCCCCGCCCTCCGCCTTTTTCATTTCCCCTGGAGTTTGTGTACTTCATCTTGAGCGGTTGTCGTGAGTAGATTCTGATAACATTTTTTAAAAAATAATATGAAATTAATGTGCGGACCATCCTGTGCCTGCCGCTTCTCCCCTGCAGTCATCCACCCGCGGTCTTCTCAGCCTCGCAGTCATCGCAGGTCTTCTGGGTGGGAGCATTTCAGGGGAGAATTAGTGGACAGTAAAGAGTTTGCAGTCAATCTTGCCCTGATGGAAGTGCCTAATACGCACACAGGCGCCCTGTAAACTTACAAAGATTCAACATTTGAAGTTCACCCTTCAAAAGTTTGTGGGTGGGTCGATTTTCGCTTAACTTTGGACTTCCAACTAATGCAGCTCAAGAAGGACATAGCTTCCTCTTAAGGTCTATACAAATCCTAACTGGTGGGATTAATTCTGGCCATTGAGTCAGGGTTTTAAAAATCCGGAGGGTTATTAGATGTCGATTACAGTTGGGACTTTTATCGCTTCACTGCTTTCTGGGGTTGTCCGGATTTTTGTTAGGAAACCCAGGCTGATGCTCCAGTTGTGTTCTGAAAAGAAGCCTCAATACATCAGTGAAGCAAAGCTGGGATACAGATCCCTGCTCTTGTGTCCTTTACAGCAGTGGTCTCCAAACCCCCCCCCCCAGGGGCATAGCTTTGGGCCCTGTGGGTGGGTGGCCAGAGTGTCCCAGTTCCCCTCTTCCCACCCCCTCCCAGCCAGGCCTCCAAGCCACAAAGGTTGGAAACGGCTGCTTTATAGTAACTTGTTCTGTCCAAATCGGTATGACCTTCGTGGAAGATGGCAATCAACATGATCATCCATGCTTGGTGCCTTTAGATTCCATCTGCCAGTAATAGGAGAAGAGGGCAAGTACAATAAAATCTTGCCTGAATGAGAAATGCCATTTAGCTGGGTGTATCCAAGCTGGTGCTAAGATTAGAAAGACACTTTTTGCACTGAAAAATGTTCTCCATGTTCTGATTATTTTTTTCTCCCTGATGTCTATGGAGATTCTCAATCTTCCATGTCATGGTTGTCACACAGGTCCTTTCCAAAAGGCAACTGGATTTTTTTTTTCCTTGAAAACATTTCACTTCTCAACAAAGAAGCTTCTTTGGTTCTGGCTCAGCGGTTCTCAACCTATGGGTCGCAACCCTATTTGAGGTCGATCGACCATTTCACGGGGGTTGCCAAGCAAGGCTGTCCGCCATTTTTTTCCCCTTTTCCGGCGGGTGCCTTACCTCCCTTGAGCTGGGCCAGCTGGTGGTTGGCCTGCTCCGTCTCTGCCGCTTGGCAGCTACGCCTCGGCTGGCGCAGGGGGCGGAACCACGCATGCGTGGCGCTCCCGGGCAGGGAAAGTCCTCGACTTACGACCAGTTGGGTAGTCCTCAACTTACGACCGGTTTAGTCCTCGACGTACGACCGGTTTAGTCCTCAACTTACGACCGGTTGGGGGTCGCGGAATTAAAAAGTTGAGAACCACTGTTCTGGCTGAATGGTAGGGAAAGGGAAGATTTTTATCCCTGAGAAAGTTGTATGTGTTTAGTACCCTGCTCCGTGAAGCTGTCTGGCAATCTTCTGCAGTTTCAATGCAGGCAAATGTTATCTCATAAGTGAGATTAAGGACAAGGAACCAGGCATTGCCTCCTTGATGTTAAGACATTAACTTTCCTCACTTGTTCATTTTCAGGTAACTCAGCTGTGGCAACATCTCCAGCAAGCATGGCTACTGGATCCATATTTGTCATCCCCTCTAATGGAGCGAACGTAATCCAAACGGCCCCTGGATTGCCCGGTGTTGCTCTTCAGGCATCTGGAGCAACTCCATACCCTCAGTATGGAACTCAGCAACTTGGAATTTCCACCAGTGTTCCTCAACAAGTCTCCCAGAAGGTTCCTATGCAGAGATTCCTCAGTGCTGAGGCCAAAGTGTTTGGGGTACGCATGCTTTGCTATGTGCCTGTTTGAAGTCCATTAAGGTTTTAGAGCTATGAAGAGACCTGTGAGCCCCATGATGAAGTTCTGGAACTTGGCTTGGTTGTTGTCTGGCTCTGGAATATACTCCAGAAATCTCTGCTCTTCCTGGTAGTTTCTTTTGTGTTTCTACAAAACATTCTGATTCCCAGGCTTTGTTCTTTTACTGAGAAAGTGAAGCTCAGACATAGTTTCAGCCAGATCTTTTTTTCTCCCTTCCCTCTGAGAAGTGCAACTCTTGGGCATTTTTCCAGAAGAACTTGTTTATAGATTGGCTCCAGCCCAAGCCAATTGAAGTTGCTTTGTACTTATGACCATGCTTAACTTCCTCTTGCAGAGGAGTCTGTAATAAGAGAAGTGACATTTCTTTCTCAAAGGCCCATCTTGATATACTTACAGTCCTTCTTCCTGACAAGAGCAGCCTCACTGTAGGTGAAACTAGATCATAATCTGGAGGAAATGTCCAGTACATAGTGACAATGGTGTCTCAAACTGTCCCTTTCCCCCCCATTTGAATTTTTCACCATAGGAACCCAGGCCTTGGGTCAACACCTGCCCTGGAAGCTTAGAAGCCCCAACCCCTTTCAAGGACCTTTCAAAGAGGGATAGAAAGTGATGCTTTTCCAGGGGTGCTAACAAATTAGAAAGTTTCTCTTTCTCAGATTCAGAGAACTAATTTTTCGTATTTTGTGTGTTTTCCTTCCATAGGCCGTCCAGATCATGATTGGGTTGATCCACATTGGCTTTGGAGCTGTCGCAATCTGTCTCTATCCTTACGATCTTACCGTGTCTGGAACTGGAGGTTACCCCTTTTGGGGAGGGATATTTGTAAGTATGTGCAAATTTTCGTTGAGTCATGCATCATGGTATTAATGGCTAATGGATACCTATAAAAGTCCTGTTTGCATGGAACCTCCCTGGTTTCTTATGGGTGCCAGATTTTCCCAGTGGACTAAAATAAAATATTTTTTCTGTTTCTTTTTCCATAGTTCATTTCTACTGGGTCACTATGTGTAGTAGCTGCGAATCGTTCAAATCATGATTTGGTGAGAAAGATATATGGCGTTTGAATTTATTTTATGCTTTATCTTTGTAAGCGCTCAGGTCCTTCTATACTGTCTATTGTCTTCAAATACTGCTCAGTCTTAAATCAACATTTGAGGAAAAAAACAAACTCAAAATCCCCACCCACTTCATTCTTTAATCAACTTTTGCTTCCATGCTTTGCTTCCACTGAAAGTTCTGTGTCAACAGTAGAGACTGTTTAACCATCCAGAACTGGAGCCTCCCCTGGTCCCCATTTTGCGATGGGCTTCTTCCCAAGTTCCCTTCCTGATCTGCAACCTGCAACACTGCAGGTCCTGTCAGTACTACGATGAAAATGAGAGAAGCCCAAGAAAGTCAATGACCGTGACTTGGGTGCTTGTTCTACCAGAGCTTCCTTAGCTGCTACTAGTCCTGAACAAAGAGGTATGTCCTTACATTCTCTAGTCTTGAACCAGACTGCCAACCACCAACATGCCTCCTCCTCCTCCTCCATATTGACAGAGGTTCCTGTTTCAGCAGTATTCCTACATGGAAGCAACATTAGAAAGAAGTTCAGTGTATTAGGAGTAAAAGTATGGAACAAGTGGTGGGTCTCATCCTGGGAATCAAAGAGAGGAGAGAGCTGATGGTAGCCCTCCTGCAAAGAGCTTGCTTTCTTCTCTCCTGTTTCTCCTTGGTTTAAAGTGTTCGTGGCAACACAAAAATGTTTTGTCTTGTAAAGGAACATAGTGTGGATTCAAGAGAAGAAAAATGACCATTTTGATAGAAAAATACTACATTCCTGACAGGGGAGAACTAAAAACAGAGCAATTTTTAAACATTCAGATTCCTCACAATTGTCTCCAAGGGTTTCTTTATTCCCATCTCTCTAGTTGCCTCTCTGTAATGTTGTATAGCTAGAAAAGCATTTAACATTAACATTTAATGCTTAGAGTGCATTGTGTCCTAGAATAAACAGTCTGGGATTTCTTTAACTAAAATGTTAGAGAAGGAAGAAATTGTAACAGGTTTCCTGTCACTTTTAACCATGGCCTTCCATGGAGGCTGACATCCAGAAACAGAGAGAAGGAATTTGACAGTGTTAGAAAAGCCTTCAAATGAATTGTGACATTTGCCTTTCATCCATGTAAAACCCTGTTGTTGCTGAATGTCTATGGAGATTCTCAGTCATCCTGGTCATAGTTATCCCAAAGATGATTTTTCCTGAGGCAACTGGACTTTCTTTTTTTTCTTTGAAGATGTTTCGCTTCTCATTCAAGAAGCTTCTTCAGCTCTGACTGGATGGTGGGAAATGGAAAGATTTATACTCCTGCAGTCAGCTGTTCATTTGCACTCTTTTAGCGAGTTGTTGAGGCCACCTAGAGATTTATCTGTGTTATCAGGGTCACCTGAGTGGTGCAAATGAGTGTGGAGCCTTCTTGGCACTGTTGAAAGGACTATATTGTAGACTGGAGATAGATGATGTCGTATCCCTACCGCTCTGTTGAGAGAGAGCTGTTCAGTTTTGACACATAGATGGCCTCTTTGACCCGTCTTTCAAACCAGCGGTCTTCTCTGTCCAAAATGTGGAATTTGCTGCCTTCAAAAGCTTGGCCTTTGTCTTTTAAATGCAGATGGACTGCTGACTCTTGTCCTGATGGGCTTGTGCTCCTGTGTTGTGCCATGCATTTATGAAGTGGTTGATTTGTTTCCCCAATATACAGATCTGCACATGGCTCGATGCATTGTACTGCATATACCATGTTGCTCAGTTTGTGTCTGGGTGTTTTATCTTTTGGTGGACAAGCTTCTGCTTTAGTGTACTCTTGGGTTCGAAGTGTGCACATATGTTGTGTTGGCCAAAGATCTTCCTGAGCTTTCTGATATTCCTGCAATGTATGGAATGACTACGTTGCTTTGTTTAATGTTTCCTTCGTCAGTTATGGAGGAGCTCCTGCTGGGTCTTTTTTGAGATTTGATGAAGGCCCACTTGGGATAGCCACAAGTTCTAAGGGCTTCCTTGATGTGTTTTAGTTCTTTTTCTTTTCCATCTTTGCTGACACTGCAATTGTAATTTCTCTCTTTCTGGTGAATTTCTGTTTCAGGTGGAATCCAGTATAGGAATGAACATTGCAAGTGCTACAGTGGCATTAACTGGTATCATGATGTGCCTATACCAGATGATCGTCACCACTATTCCTCAATATGACACTACAAGGATAATCGTAAGTAAACCAATCTGGTCTTAAATTTTGGCTTCATATGCAGAATCCCGAAGAAGTTTTTGTATGCAGCCAGGATATCCCAGATTCTTTCTTTGTTTTAAATCTTTCCTTGAATAGGTCTAAGTCCCAAAGACATGACTGCTATTTGATTTGAATTTTATATATATATATATATTGGTTAAATAAGGGCAAGTAATCTTCTGGTTGTTGAGGTACAAAGTGTGTAGCTCTTTGTAGATTTCTTTCTTTTCTAGTTTTTTTTTGGTAGAAAGGGGAATAGATTTTTAAAAAACATGGAAAATGTGTTTTAGGTACACCTTTTGACTATGTCTCTGTAGAGTGTAAAAATTTGATTGTTTTACAGTAGGGTTTGAGTGCTGCAAAACAAAGAATTGTTTGAAAATTCTATATAGGACAAAATACAGCTGTACATGTTGAAATCTATACCAGGTTTTCCTGCCACCTCCACTTCCTCATCCCTGCTTTGCATATGACACCCAGTTTTAGAAAACTGAAATTTAGGTAAGTTCTGAAGTGTGGACAGTTTAGAACCATATACCTGGGATCAAAGGCTTGATATTTTAGTATTTTGTAAAATGCTATCCTTTGATTTCTTATGAGTGTTTAATCATAGTAGTATCTCATCCAGGGTTTTATTCCTTTACAACCTGACAGATGATTGGAAAGAAGTTGGATAAAGAAAATAGATCTAGCTGTATCCTTATTGATGAGGGAAAGCAATATATCTTAGACTGACTGAATCTAAATCACATTGTTGCCCTTAACCATAATCTGTTAATGCCAATTTTCTCAATTTTCCCATGAGATTACCTTTACCTTATCCTCAGACCATGAGTAAGATTCCAAGCCTTAAGTCATCATTAGCTGCACTAGGATAAAACTAATCCTTTCCTCTCCTCTTATTCTGACCCCATCCAACAACAACCTCAAGGTGTATAAAATCTATTTCCCTTCACCCATTATCTTGGAGATAAAGTCAGGTGACCAAGACTGGATACGTTAGGACAATGGGGAGGCCTGCGGCTTTTCGTCTTTGGATTAGCCAGCCTCTGTCTTAACTGCTTTTGGTTCTGTCCCTTGTGACTCTTGGTGTAATTCAGGAGAATGTACACTCAAAATGTTCTATTGTCATAACCGGAATACCTTGTTCTAGCAAACACATCCCTTTAAATAAGGAAGCAGAGGGACTGGAAATAAAACAAAGGATCTTTCACTGATATGCAAAGCTAGAGTGATCACTGGGCACATGGCCAGCAGAATGCCAAAGAGCCTAGAATTAAGAAAGTTTATGGGTTAAATACCTTTAGAACATAAGAATAAGAATGATTAAGTAATGTACATCGTACTATGGCCTTTATAGCTGTGAGGGAACCTTTTACATTACTATGGGATGTCCTTACCATGGTCTGACCCGGGGCCTCTAACTTCCACATTCCTACAAAGGCTCCAATCTGGCCTTCTTCTGATAACACTACTACCACCTTCTATCATGAACAATGTCCTTCAGCCAGTTTGGTTAGGAGAGCTGAGAATTTCTTCATCAGTGAAACTAATGATTTAGACCAGGCATGTCAAACACAAGGCCCGGGGGCCGGATGCGGCCCACGAAGTGGTTTCATGCGGCCCGCAAAGCCATCCTGGAAACAGTGAGAGAATGGCCCCTGCTGCCTTGGCCCTGGCCCAGGCCAGCCGGGAGCCAATGTACAAGTTTGTGGTGGCCATCTATGCTGAAACACGTTCAGTCTTAGCTCCACAAGACCGTCTGGAAACAGCGAGGAACCAGCCCCTGCCACGTCGGCCTCACCCCCTGGGTGCATGCTGGGGAGGTGTCACCCTTTGTGAGGAATGAAGAAATGCACCATCACCTGGAAGTGGCCAGAAAATGGCCCTTGCCTACTTCACATATCCAGCTTGATGGGCTCTGCCCTGGTCCCACCCCTTTCTGCCAGAGACCCTCAGAACTGTCCCACTCCTGCCCAGGGCCCCACAGGCACCCTTGACGTGAATGATGTAGAGCTGGCCATGCCCATCCAGTAGGCCACACCCACTCCATCCACGCCCACCCATTAGGCCGCACCCACTCTGGCCACACACACCCGCCCCCCCGAGGGCAACCGCAATGCTGATGCGGCCCTCAATGAAATTGAGTTTGACACCCCTGATTTAGACTGAGCGTTGGATTCTTCTTCTCTGCTTCATCCTACATGAGCAGCTTTTTGTGGTGCGTAAAGGAGAAACAAGGCTCAGGTGAAATACGTGCTACTGTGCAACGATTTAACTTGATGTGTGGCTCTGAAATATGATTGATCCCCCTTTGATTCTCAGTGATATCTGGAATTTCCCTCCAGAATGCTGCAAAACATAAGAGCAAAGACGATGGGGGTGGGGAAGCTGGAGTCATTTAACAACCGTAGGATTCCCTTAACTGCAGCGATTTCCTTAACAACAGTGTCAAGAAAGGTGAAATTACGCTTGACTCACTTAACAACTGTCTTGCTTAACAATGGAAATTCTGATCCCAATTGTGGTTGTAGGTCGATGATTACCTGTACGCAGCCTCTGTTTTTCCCCAGTACAATTGTTCCTCCCAGTGTTTCCCCAGGAAGCAGCTGGGAGTCCCTTTTAATGGTGCAGGCACATTAGATAAAATAAAATACGTACTGCTACATTAATTTCTTGCAACTGATTGCAACCATCTTTCCACACGTCTCCATGCTCTATAGAGTGTCAGTTATGGCCTCGCCAGTCTGCTGCTTTTGTTCAGCCTGTTGGAATTTTGCATCGCTGTTTCCCTTGGACGCTTTGCGTGCCAGGCAACCGGCCGTCGTGTTGACCAGGTAAATATGTGCTATTTCAATAATAGCTTTAGCAGTTGTCATTGGTAAAGAATGTAAAGATGATTGTCCATTTTTCTTCTTTATATTCACACTCCACCTAACCCGACCGTTTGCATGTTTCTTTGCTGTTACCCTGAAGAATAGGTGAGATTGGCTGCTCAGGATACCAAGCAAGCTTTATAACTAGGAGAGGTTTGAATTTTGATCCAACACCCTGTGGCTATTTGCTTCAGCATATGAATAATTAGATGACATGAATTTTCCCCAGCTTCTCTTTTGCTAGAGAGGGAATGTCATCAATACAACACATTTATGTTGTCTCTTTTTAATTCAGTGATGCAGAAGTTCATGTCTCCATTTTAGAAGGCTTGAATTTTGATCCAACACCCTGTGGTTAATTGCTTCTGCATATGAATAATTAGATGACGCAATTTTTTTCCCAGCTTCAGTTTTGCCAGAGAGGGAATGTCATGAATGCAACACAGTTTGTATTCTCTCTTTTTAATTCATGATGCAGAAGTTCATGTCATTTAAGAGGGCTCAGTTCTAAATGCATATATTTACTTTAGTAGTGTGACCACATTAATTTAAAAAATAACATTGTTTTTAATTCTCAGACCAACAGCTGAATACATGACTACCATAAGCTATCTAAGATCTCCAAATATAGATGTGGCAATAAAGGGATTCTAACAGAACTACAAAGGCTTTTAAAAAAAAACCAGTTGAAAACAATTGAATTACCAACCAAGTGCCTTCATTCTGCATTGGCAAGTTCTGTGGCGGCTCAGATAGCCATGTCTATCCCTTGTTTGGCAGAAGCGACAATTGGCTTCCTTTTGTACCAATAACAAACATACTCTCAACCTTTCAGAAATGCTTCAGATTAATTTGAGAGGGAGAAAATGGGAGAGAACAAAGACTGAAAGGGGTGAATATGGTTGGACCTGACAAAACAGAAGAACTCTAAAAATATTGTAAGCAGCTAAATCAGCATGCAGAGATGCCTGTCTTGGAGGCCTTGGTGCTCTCTAGCTTGGTTGCTTTCTTGCAGATGTTTCATTACTCAAATTAGATAACATCTTCAGTGCAGGTTTATTATTTGGGTAGTAAAACATCTGCCCAAAACAACCAAGCTCAAAGAACATCAAGGTCCCCTCATTTTAACATTGAGCTACAAATATTCTCCTTTATCGGCACCTGTATTCACAGCCACTGCCAGCTGAAGCCAATTCAGACACAAAAAAATAATTTTCCCTGGAGGGAAATGCATCTTGTTTGGGCCTTTAAATTCTTAGAATAAGTTAATAATCTGATAGCTTTTGTGAATAAATCACAAGAATATTCTTTATTTGTTTATATGCTCCTCAAGCTGGACCCTAGAGGTTTACAACAACAGTGTAGCCATATGAATACAGAAACATAAAATATATAACTAATGCACAAAATAAAATCAGTCCCCAAAGATCCTCAGGAGAAGCCAGTTCACTTCTCTTACCACTTTCCAGAGAATCATCCCAGTTGGCACCATCCTTATTTGAGAAGGTCATCCATTCCATACAGAGAACACTCACTGGGGCGGGTGAGGGTCTTCCTGTCATACCTCTTAGTACAGTGGTTCTCAACCTTTTTAATGCCGTGACCCCCAACTGGTCATAAGTCGAGGACTAAACCGGTCGTAAGTTGAGGACTAAACCGGTCGTAAGTCGAGGACTACCCAACCGGTCATAAGTCGAGGACTTTCCCTGCCCGGGAGCACCACGCATGTGTGGTTCCACCCCCTGCGCCGGCCGAGGCGTAGCTGGCAAGCGGCAAAGACGGAGCAGGCCGACCACCAGCTGGCCCAGCCCAAGGGAGGTAAGGCACCCACCGGAAATGGGGGGAAAAAATGGCGGACAAAAAAAATGGCCGACAGCCTTGCTTGGCGACCCCCATGAAATGGTTGATCGACCCCAAATGGGGTCCCGACCCACAGGTTGAGAACCACTGTCTTAGTAGGTAGATGGGAGATCCTGAGCAGGCATCCTCTGAATGTGTGGATAAGGTTGGGAGATTCAATCAGGAAAAGTCGCTTAAATGCTCAGGCCCTAAATCATTTGCATCTTAAGTAATAGTTTTAAAGAATTCTCTATCAGGACTTTGAGCTATCAAGGATTTCAGCCTGTTGGTGAGACTGCCAGTATCACAATTGGAGAATCTATTCCTCCTACCCAGGGTAACAGGTGCGTCCCTGAGTATTTTTTGTAATGACTATTCTTTTCTGTTACAGCCAACCATGCTTTTTTGGCCTTACCAAGTCATCAGAGGTGGAGCAGTCACACCTGAACCAAATCCTCCTCCTCCACCGACTTACGATAAGGTGGTTACCAAATTTCCTTAAATCAAGAATCCCAGGAATGAAATGTGAGAAGTGTTGCAACAGGAGAAGCAATGCATTTCATATTATTTTGTCCTCCAGCTTCCTTGTTTATTTTTCAGTTACAGCGTTTAAACACTAAATTAAAGCTCAGACTGTCCAAGGAGCTGCTGATACAGTTGTACAAAGGAATAATTGAGTCTGTCATTTGCACCTCTATAACTGGTTTGGCACTGCAATCAAAGCAAGACAGACTTCAAGGGATAATTAGAAGTGCAGAAAAAACAATTGCTACCAGCCTGCCTTCCATTGAGGACCTGTATACTGCACGAGCCAGAAAGAGTGCTGTGAAAATATCTACAGACCCCTCACATCCTGGACATACAGTAAACTTTCAATTTATTCCCTCAAAATGATGCCATAGGGCAGGGGTGTCAAACTCAATTTCATTGAGGGCCACATCAGCAATGCGGTTGTCCTCGGGGGGCCGGGCGGGTGTGGCCAGGGTGGGTGCAGCCTACTGGGTGGGCATTGTTCGTGTCAAGGGTGCCTGTGGGAGCCTGGGCAGGAGTGAGACAGATCTGAGGGTCTCTGGCAGAAGGGGGTGGGACCAGGGTAAGCGCCAAGGCATGGTCCATTTCTTCATTCCTCACAAAGGGTGACACCTCCCCAGCATGCACCCAGGGGGCGGGGCCGACGCGGCAGGGGCTGGTTCCTGGCTGTTTCCAGATGGCCTTGTGGAGCTAAGACTGAATGCGTTTCAGCATAGATGGCCATCACAAAATTGTACATTGGCTCCCGGCCGGCCTGGGCCAGGGCCAAGGCAGCGGGGGCCATTCCCTCACTGTTTCCAGGATGGCTTAGCAGGCCACATGAAACCACTTTGCGGGCCGCATCCGGCCCCCGGGCCTTGTGTTTGACATGTCTGCCATAGGGCATTACAAGCCAAAACAACTAGACACAAGGACACTTTTTCCCCCCATGCTATCACTCTGTAAACAACTAATTCCCACAACACTGTGAAACTACCTAGTAGGGCTGTATTACTATTATCCTTCTCATCTTTCCTATTACCTATTTCCTTATCTTCTTATGACTATAACTTTGTTGTTTGTATCTTATGATTTATATTGTTTAATTTAGTATCCTAGTATGATTTGTGTTGATTGCTTATTTAGTATCCTATGACTATCACTGAGTGTTCTATCTTATAATTTATGATGTATTTTATCAATATGATCATGATTTATCATTTGTTGCTTGTGTGTACACTAAGAGCTTATGCATCAGAGACAAATGCTTTGTGTGTCCAATCACACTTGGTCAATAAAGAATTCCTATTCTATTCTGTTCTGTTCTATTCTTATGAGTTTGTGGTGCGTTTCACTAGATGTATCTGAGAACTAACACATTGAAAATTGTGCTGTAAGTGTTATGGAGTGGACTCAAATGAATGGAAGGAACAGACTTTCATTTGATCCAGGGTTCCACTGTGTAACTTGTGCAAGACGAATAGGGCGCTGCTGAACATGATAAGAGGATATCCCTTTCATTGCTAACTAAGTCATGTAAAGATCCATAGATGCCTAATCCAACTGGAGTCCCCCTACTTTTTCTTTGGACAAATCAACCCCTGGAGCTGAACTTATTAGCATTCTCTTTCAGCTCAGCTTTCCCAGATTTAAATTAAGAAAGGCAGACAGATTGAAGACCACTTCTGGGGTGCATTTATGTTGTCTAGAAGATCCTCTGTGGATAAACATTTCCGAAAGGATGATATATGTTGATTCCTCAATGTGCTGGAATAGGGATAAAGTTAATAACTTAAGCAGTGCCACCCCACTACATAGATGGGGGATTGAAAGGAGACAAGAACTGATACTCAAAGGTTCCAGCAAGATTTTCTAAAGTTTTGGTTTTAGGATATGTGGATTGTATCACGGATACAAGTTGGTGTTTTGCTTGGGTGCCAAAATATTTGGATAGTTTTTTCTCCTTGTAGCATAAGGGTGCAGGAGAGAGAATCTCAAATGTGTTGCTTGATGGGTTTAACTCTGTAGACTGCATAGACGGCAACATAAAGAGCACCCACTACAACTAGTGGGTGAGAGATAGGCTCAGAGGTTTAATAGCAATGTAGTTATATTGATATAGTCTTTGTTTGGCAGCCACATTTGGGATTGTCGATCATTAAGCAAAGTGGTTTCTAAGTGAAACCACAGCTGTGCTTATGTTCTTACTTCAGCTTTCCTTTGCTTTACAAACCCTTGAAGGCCCTAAATGTGAGGCTTGGTCTTAAAAGTTGCTTTTCCATCACTGGTGTAACTCTGAACTCTTGTTAAATGAGGACTACCTGTAGCTTGAGTGCTGGAAGACACTCTATTTCAATCTGAGCACAATGAGATTGCTTAATGAGAGAATGAGCCCATCCACACAGCCTCCTGACTTTGCCTCAGAGACTTCTTGTAACCATCTCTAAGGACTCACCTGCATAATACAGCCTCCCTCTCATTTCCAGTCCATAGCTGAGGGCAGCTACCATTGGCCTTTTCTGATTAGATGTGGAAATCATGTTTTCCATCTTCCCTCATCATTGCTTCACTGATAAGATGGCTGCTGACTTCCCTCCAGGGGCATCTGGGGTTTTGATGCTGGACAGACATGATCTCAGAAGAAGAGCAGCCCTACCAAGACTGCAGAAAATCATAAACCAGAACTGCTGTGTAGCCACCTCCCTGTCATCACAGTTTTAGTTTCCCAGCAGACCAGTTGCTCTATGGGTTGGCTCAATTTCTATGTGATGGACAGGCAGGTCGCTGTAGGAAGGTACAGTAATTCTTTACTGCTTTCTCTACCACTCTCAATGCTATGGTAGTGATAGATCAAGTCCTGTCTAAAAGGATTGGGGGGGAGAGGCCCAATAGGCAGGTTAGCCTATGAGGCATTCCTTGTGACCAGGTTGCTGCTCAATGGTCTTTCTCTTAGGGTCAGAAAAAGTAGTAGAGCAGGACCTCTGTAGACACAGCACTCCATGAAGGGATCTGCATGTTGGGCCACTGGTTTTTGCAATGGACTCACAGTCTGGTTATTCCAAGAACACTAAGGTTGAATGATAGTTCAATCAGCCACTCCAGCCCTCTTTCAAACTCTCCTCCTCCTCTTCCTCCAAGCACCCAGGTTACAGGAAGCAATTGGGAGTTTTTCCTTGCAGGACAATGTTAGGGCAGTTCCAAGTAGAGAGCAGCTATGGAGAGGGAGCAAATCCTATCAACATGCTTCTGAACCATCTCCCTAACGAGGAAAGGACGTGAAACATGCTCAGATATGTCCCCATGAAGTAAGCTGGTTCAGTCACTCAACCTGAATGAGAGCTTAGTGAAAACTATGACTCTCCGACCATCTATAGGAATGTTAGCCTCCAGTGATGGCTTCTGATGCAGGGACAGATGACGTCTGGGCATTTATCAACCCTAAAATGTCAGTTGCGACTTCTAAAATGAAAATGGAATCGATTTTTTAAAAATATGTTATTATTTAAAAGGCTGATATGTTTTGAGTTTGCCAACTCTCATGAGATTTCAGTGGTCTCATGTGATCTCACACGTTTTCAGCTTACTTGCATTATTTGCCTTTATTTTTTCCCCCCATAAATTTGTACATATTTCAATTATAATTTAATGCTGGAAGGTTGTGATTTTCAGAGGAGGCAAATTTGCACTAGAAAGTGAAAAGGTCCAGTAGACAGCTTATTTGATCTGGGAAACTAGGTAGCTTGAATTTTTCTCAAGTATCCTTCCTCCCCTATAAGATGAATCTAGAGGACAACTTATGGAGAAGGAGGATCAGAAACCATAACAAACCTTTATCGTGTCTTTCCTGATGCCTCTACACCAGCTTTAATTGAAAGATTAACATTTTTACTTGTAGAATCTGCAGGTCTGATCTTCTGACTGTTCGGAAAAAGAAAAGTTCCAAAAATCTTGGATATAAATACCTAGATAAATTCAGAAGATTTTAAAGACTCAGGTACAATTAAAACTGGATACTTTTCTTCAGGATGAACGGAGAGACAGCAAGAAAGAAGTCATGGAACTTTGTTTTTATATATGACAGTTGCAGCGAGATTATACGAGGGCAATTCAGAAATAATCCTCCATTTGGTTAACAATGACAGACACTTGCAGATACAGAGCTTTTATTATACACATTAGAAAATTACATTACATTACTTTTCAGCACAATCACCATTCAAATTGAGGCACTTGTCCCAACGTCTTACGAGGTTTGAAATTCCTTCTGCAAAAAAAATCTCCTGCCTGGGAATGAAGCTTCCCTGTAACAGCATCATGAACCCATTTGGTGTGTTTTGTGCTCCTCAGAAAGGAGTGTTGGACCCCAACGAGCACAGAACTTGCGCTATCCCAAATTTTCTGTCACTACCTCTGTACAAAACAGTCTGAGAAATTTGGGGAAAGTGCAAAGAAAGTGCAGATATCGTGAACCTATGGACTTCACGGACCTTTTTGTCAATTTCTTGCATGAGTTCATAGCTGACTACAGACGGGCTGCCACTTTTTGCCTCATTGTGCAAGTCAGTTCATCCATCTTTCATCATGCGACACTACTGACGTATGACACCTTCACTCATCACGTTTGGTCCATAAACATTACATGGTTCACGATGAATTGCAGGTGCTGAACATTTTTTCGCACACAGGAATTGTATTATTGCACCCACTTCACTTTTCACGTTTGGAGGGATTTTCTATGGCAGGGTTCATTTTCAATTGATCTAGCGGACAACTGCAACACAACCTTTTTCTTCCACTCCTCACTGCCTACTGAACTACTGTGCACGGCGCCACAGAACGAGCGTTGCTATCCCCACCTATTTCTCGCACATGATCAGAGGTTTATTTCCGAATTGCCCTCGTAATATGCTTAAAAGTGGGAAGGTTTGACATAACCCACAATAAAGGAATGGTTGGTGAAAATGATGGGACTTGCAGACAAGGCTAAATTGACTTCCTTGATTAGAGAAAAGATGGGACGGACTGGAAACCCCTTAGAGACTTTTTACATGAAACAGAAAAAATAGCATTAGCAATAGCATTTAGTCCTCAACTTACAACAGTTCATTTAGTGACCGACAACGGCACTGAAATAGTGACTTATGACCATTTTTCATGCTTATGGGCGTTGCAGCATCCCCACGGTCATGTGATCAAAATTCACACTTTTGGCAACTGACTCATATTTATGACGGTTGCAGTGTCTCTGGGTCATGTGATCCCTTTTGTGACTTTCTGACCAGCAAAGTCAATGGGGAAGCTGGATTCACTTCACAACCGTGTTACTAGCTTCACAACTGCAGTAATTCTCTTAACAATGGTGACAAGAAAGGTCGCAAAGTGGGGGGAAAGCACTTAACAAATGTCTCACTTAACAACAAAAATGTTGGGCTCAATTGTGGTTGTAAGTTGAGAAGTATACCACGTCCCTTAATGCTTTACAGCACACTTTGGGTGGTTTACAATGTTGAAGCATTATTTGAATATTGCCCCCAACAATCTGGGTCCTCACTCTACTGACCCCGGATGGATGGGAGGCTGAGTCAACCTTGAGCCCCATTGGGATCAAACTCCAGACTGTGGGCAGAGTTTGGCTGCAATACTGAACTTTAACCATTGTACCATCAGGACTCGTAAAATGTACTTGTGACTAGACTTTTTGACAATTAGAAAAAAAAATAGGAAAAAGTGACCTTTTTTGTAAGATAATTTTGTAATGATGTTTATAATAATAATAATAATAATAATAATAATAATAATAATAATAATAATAATAAAGTTGGGACCTTGGAGGTCATCTAGTCCAACCCCCTGCTCAGGGAGGAAACCTTATACCATTTCAGACAAATGGCTGTCCAGTCTCTTCTTAAAAACTTCCAGTGTTGGAGCATTCACCACTTCTGGAGGCAGGTTGTTCCACTGGTTAATTGTTCTAACTGTCAGGAAGTTTCTCCTTAATTCTAGGTTGCTTCTCTCCTTGATTAGTTTCCATCCATTGCTTCTTGTCCTGCCTTCAGGCGCCTTGGAAAATAGCTTGACTCCCTCTTCTTTGTGCAGCCCCTGAGATATTGGAATACTGCTATCATGTCCCCCCTCATCCTTCTCTTCATTAAACTAGACATACCCAATTCCAGCAGCCTTTCCTTATATGCTTTGGCCTCCAGTCCCCTGATCATCTTTGTTGCTCTTCTCTGTACTCTTTCTAGAGTCTCAGCATCTTTTTTACATCGTGGTGACCAAAACTGGATGCAGTATTCCAAGTGTGGCCTTACTAAGGCATTGTAAAGTGGTATTAATACTTCACGTGATCTTGATTCTATCCCTCTGTTAATGCAGCCCAGCACTGTGTTGGCTTCTTTGGCAGCTGCAGCACACTGCTAGCTCATATTTAAGTGATTGTCCACTCGGACTCCGAGGTCCCTCTCACAGTTACTACTATTGAGCAAAGTACCCCTTATACTATACCTGTACATTTGGTTTTTCTTGCCTAAATGTAGAACCTTAATTTTTTCACCATTGAATTTCATTTTGTTAGATAGCGCCCAGTGTTCAAGTCTGTCCAGATCCTCCTGTATCCTAACCCTGTCTTCTGGAGTGTTGGCTATTCCTGCCAGCTTAGTATCATCTGCAAATTTGATGATTTCCCCATCTATCCCCTCGTCCAAATCGTTGATGAAGATGTTGAAGAGCACTGGGCCCAGAACAGAGCCCTGGGGCACCCCACTACACACTTCCCTCCATGTAGATGTGATTCCATTGAGGACCACACACTGAGTACGGCCAGTCAGCCAGCTACGGATCCATCTGGTGATGATGCTGTCTAACCCACATTTTTCTATCTTCTCAAGTAGTAGGTTGTGATCCACTTTATCAAATGCCTTACTGAAGTCCAAGTAAATTATATCCACAGCATTCCTCTGATCCACTAATTTTGTTACTTGGTTAAAGAATGCAATAAGATTTGTCTGGCATGATCTGTTTTTGACAAAGCCATGTTGGCTTTTAGTAATGACTTTGTTTGCCTCTAGGTGTTCGCTGATTCGTTGTTTGATTATCTTTTCCAGAAGGAAAATAGGAAGCTTTTTTTTCTTTTTTTCTCTTTTCTTTCTGCAGTTTTGCCTTTATCTTTTTTTCTTTTTCTTTGTTTTCTTTACTGTGTATTAGTATTTCTGTTACTCAGTTGTCTTCTCTAGTGGAATAACATGTCCTTTATATAAATTAAATATTGATAATTTTCTTATATAGCCACATTGTCCACCAATACATTATCTCCCTGTTATATTTTCTTTTTCTCTCTTTGCAGCTTATACTGTGATTTCCTCTTGCCTCTTCTTAACTTCAGAACTATATTATGTCAGGTAACTGGACCTGCCACGCTCACACTTGATTATCGTCCCATTGATTGAAACACCTGTCCAATTTCCCCTTGACATGAACTGTTGAACTAAACAAGACTGAAAAGCCAATATTATAATATAGGGAAATTATCTTGGCATCTGAAAGAGATAACAGCAAGCAGCTTTTTAAAATCTGGGAATAACATAGCTCATGGGGGGGGGGGAAGGGGGCAGAAGCTGTCTCCCTTTCCAAAACACTATAGCGTTGAAGCGACCTACTCTACACACACACCCCGCGTAGAAGTTTGTGGCACAGGCCTATACGAACTAGCAATAGGAGGATCAGGACTCTAGAGGGCGCTTCCGTGTAACATGCACTCTGAAAGAATGGGGGACTCTCCAACAGTAGTCAACTCAAAAGCAAATGCTCAGTTTAAATAAGTGCATTAGGAAACATAATAGATTAACCCATGTGCTAACTTTGCCAATGCACGGAGAGGATTTGCCTTTGGCATCTGCTTAGTGCCCAAACGATATGGTGGTCCAGGCGTTTCAGCGGTCTCTGAGGTTCCCAAGGAGAGTTCCGCAAGAAGAGCAGTCGGAGGCTGCGACCGACTCCCTCCATTGCGGCTTTGCCTGTTCAAGGGCCAAAAAGAGTAAGCCGAAAGCTACGGAGAGCGTCGGTGGAGGGAAAGGGGATCTTCTCCGCTCACGAGGTCTACTTAAAGAGGTCCGGGAGACAGAAGGGGGAACGGACGCGGAGGCTGTGATCACAGTGTGCATCCTCTTGTTTCTCTTTCTAGCGATTCCTGCAAAGGTTGTAGAAGACTCCGAGGGGTTAAAAACGACTTCCTTCGAGCGCGGGACTTGCGTACTTTGGGAGGAAGCGAAAGATTAGAGGGATGCGTTTGGTTTCAGTGATTCGTTTTAGCCTGGGAAAAGCAGGATGTTGTAAACTTGGATAATTTTCCTCTCATTTCTGAATAAACAGAAGATTCCTGGCCCCAAACTGTTATTTGTTGCAACAGTTAAACAGGAAAAAGATGTTTTTCCAGGACCCCTCGATTAAGCTATGAGTAAATCCCTCCTTTTACCGTAATAGGCGGCGGAACCCCGCCCTCCACTTGTTTCCCTTAAGTTAATTTCGTTTTCCTTGTGTGTCGTCTTGATCGGTTGTCGTGAGTAGATTCTGATTACTTTTTTAAAAAATAATATGGAATTAATTCTTTGCCTGTCGCTTCTCCCCTGCACAGCCATCCACCCGCGGTCTTCTCAGCCACGCAGCCACCGAAGGTCTTCTAGATGGGAGCATTTAAGAGGAGAATTAGCGGACAGGAAAGAGTTTGCAATCAATGTTGCCATGATGGAAGTGCCCAATACGCACACAGGCGCCCTGTAAACTTACAAAGACTCAATATTTGAAGTTCGCTGTTCAAAGGTGGGTGGGTGGAGCTCCCCTTAACTTGGACTTCCAAGAGGGAAGCAAATCAGGAAGGAAGTAGCTTCCTCCTGAGGTCTGTACAAACCGTGGGATTAATTTGGGCCATTGGGTCAGGGTTTTAAACATCTGGAGAGTTATTACAGTGAGGGAAAAATTATTTGATCCCCTCCTGATTTTGTACTGTAAGGTTTTCCACTTAGCCTCACAATTGCCCCAGCATTACTCAGGAATTAAAAAGAGCCAAAGAAACTCCTGAGCCGAGGTTTCAACAAGCAAACAACTTTTATTTTGATGATAGTAGTAATAGTAGTAGTAGTAGTAGTAGTAGTAATGATGATGATGATGATGATGATGATGATGATAATAATAATAAAGTTGGAAGGGACCTTGGAGGACATCTAGTCCAACCCCCTGCTCAGGCAGGAAACCCTATACCATTTCGGACAAATGGCTGTCCAGTCTTTTCTTAAAAACTTCCAGTGTTGGAGCATTCACCGCTATTGGAACACTGCTATCATGTCCCCCCTCGTCCTTCTCTTTGTTAAACTAGACATACCCAATTCCAGCAACTGTTCCTTACATGTTTTAGCCTCCAGTCCCCTAGTCATCTTTGTTGCTCTTCTCTTTACTCTTTCTAGAGTCTCAGCATCTTTTTTACATTGTGGTGACCAAAACTGGATGCAGTATTCCAAGTGTGGTCTTACCAAGGCATTGTAAAGTGGTATTAATACTTCACATGATCTTGATTCTATCCCTCTGTTAATGCAGCCCAGCACTGTGTTGGCTTTTTTGGCAGCTGCAGCACACTGCTGGCTCATATTTAAGTGATTGTCCACTAGGACTCCGAGATCCCTCTCACAGTTACTACTATTGAGCAAGGTACCCCCTATACTATACCTGTACA